CACATGCAGCAATGCAAATTTTTTCGAATACGGTATCTTCACTTCTGGCAGCTAGTCCAAAACATAATATTATTGAAATCATAATTAGGTAATTAAATTTGTTTGGTGGTTGTTGTTGTTGTTGTTGTTGTTGTTGTTGTTGTTGTTGTTGTTGTTGTTGTTGTTGTTGTTGTTGTTGTTGTTGTTGTTGTTGTTGTTGTTGTTGTTGTTGTTGTTGTTGTTGTTGTTGTTGTTGTTGTTGCTTATTATACTGTTCTATGAAAGAGGCAATAAAGTCGGTTTTCTACTAGCGAATTTTCTCACACGAAGCGACCTTTTTCCTTTGTCGGTATCACTTATTACGTCAGCAAGACGTGGCAAAATCAGTCCTCGAAAACGAGGTCGGCATTCGGCAAATGCCGGGCTAAATGCAAATTTTTGCCCACCTTATTTGCACCACCCTCGCTTCGCGCAGAAAAATCCGCTAGTGGAAAACCGACTTAATAGAGGGTAATAAAGCGCATTTAAACATGCACATTTACTATAGATGGCCCTGAAGGGGTAAAATGGGAACTGGGATTGATCTATTTTTAGACTGGGAAAATGGGATTTGGGTTGCTGGGACTGGGATTTGGCCACTGGGAAATGAAGTCCTCAAAAATGGGATTGAAGGAATGTGAGTCGATTCCCAATTTTGATCCGTTTTTGGTGTCTTTAGTCATGATTTTTGTTGTTAACTATATTATTCACAGCATTACCTGCGAACAGGCATACTCTGGCGCCCGGAATTTTGGGTTTTCTGATTATGCGTGTGTCAGAATGATGCACATGTCATGCCATTTCCGGGATTCAAATTTAAAAATCCCCCCCCCAATATTTCATAAAGTGTCCGCCACTTGCACACACGGTGGCTTAAAAGGTCTTAAAACTGTTTATTCTACCGATAAATAAATGTTTTTTTATTGACTGGGATTTCAATAACTCGGACTGGGATTTCTAATAAAAATCCAACTGGGACTGGGATTTTGCCAAAATTTCAGGTGGAAAATGGGATTGGGACCCCTCCCCCCTCCCATTTCAGGACCCTCACTATAAGCTAATGACTCGGCAAAATTACCAAACAACAGTCGGCAAAAGATCACTCCCCCCCCACTCGAAGAGGGTTAGCGCCGCCCCTGACTGAAATATCGAAATTTAATACGTATGCGAGCAGGCTACCCATAGCAAAGACAGATAAGTAGTTTATGTCCAGATGGTATTGTATTCTCTTCTACTTACTGGGGTTTCTTACTGAGATTTCACTCCAGTTATAAAGTGAGGTCATCGGCGAAGGTAAAATATTTCAATTTCCGAAAATCAAAAGTAATTCAGGTGCAAAATGTTACATTCTTGACATGCAACCAATCTCCTCCTGGTACACACCAGACAATGTTCCGATCGATAAAATCACAAAATAGACATGACATGGTATATCTATTATGTGATAAAATATTCTTTTGTGCCATGCCACCTGACATGGCGGGTGATGTGCAAGTCAAGAATAGAGAAAATCAAAAATCAGTCCAGTCCAGTCCAACTGTCCAGTCCAGTCCAACTGTCCAGTCCAGTCCAACTGTCCAGTCCAGTCCAGTCCATGTTTTGTACTATGCCCCTTCAGACGTAACTTTGTAATAGGCTTGTTCCAATCGCTATCAAAAACACGACTTAGAGTGTCATTGACGAGCCTGTATCTTCAAATCTGCACTTTTATCACGGTATCACATCTTCAAGCAACAAATGTTGGATTGATATTCGTTGTTCATTCTTCAAGACGAAGCGATTTCCGATTCCAGATAAAGATTAAAGAATTCAAC